ACTTGGTTACGCGTTGCGTCACGTGGCCGGATTACTCAGCTATGCCGACAGGGGTTTGGGGGATGGGCTTGTCTTTTGGTTCGGTTGGTGTTGTTTTGCTTTGTTTTTTATTTTTTTTTTTAATTTTTTTTGTGGTATTGGGGTGGTTGGTAGGGTGATGGGCTTGATGTCTTTGTGGGTTGTTGTTCTCTGGCTGGTTTGCAGGCAGGGTCTTCGTATATAATATACTTTCGTAGATCCGCGCGGGGGTATCACACATCACAGAGTAAAGGGCGAAACAACCCTCGAGATCTAGCGCGTAGGCATGTATGCTCAACATGGGGTGAAGACCTGGGAGGAGAGTATATTCATGCGAAGGCATATTTGACTTCCCATATGACTGCTATATACGAGGGGTAACAAGCAGATACCAGTGGTATACACCCAACTTAAATGCATGCAGGTCCGGAATTGTTGTGATGAATCATGCTACGGAGTCTTACCTGCATCAGTATGAACTAAAGCGTACAAAGCATAGTTTGAAGCTGACGTATTCCCACCAGATCATCAATGAGTCCCTCAACCCCACCTCCATTCAACCACAGACCAACCTCACTTCGACCACCCCCTCAGCTCCCCCTCCAACACACCCGCAAGAATCCGATGCACATGGCTCGTCAGATGCCCCGAGTTGAACCAGAAGTACTCCTCCAGCGGGGTCGGACACCCGTACGCCCGGTAGTTCCACGCGATATCGGGCTGGTCGTACCCGGGGCAGAAGTTGGTGGTGTTGACGATGCCGTACGCCGCGGGGTGGTCCATGATCTCGCTGAGCGTCCGGTGCGCGTCGAATAGGTGCACGGCCGTGTCCGTGTGGTTGCGGTGGAAGGCGGCGGCGTGTCGGGCCAGCGCGTCGTTGTACCAGGCGACCTGCGTGGCGTTCGGGTAGGGCTGGCTCAGGGCCTGGTTGCCCGGGGTGCGGTCGAGGGGCGGCAGGTTGATGAACAGGTAGGAGCGATAGCCCTGGGCGTAGATCTCCTGGACGGAGGCGAAGAGGGTGGTGATGAGGGTGTCGTAGAAGGCCGGGAAATCGACGGCGTATTTGGCGCTGTCGCCGATGTCGTTGATCCCGATCCAGATGGCGACAAGGGTCTGCGGCGCGGAGATGTGCCGCGAGAGGACCGGCTGGCCGTAGGTCGTGAATTGGGTGACCTGGTTGACGAGGGAGACGGTGTAGTTGTGGTGGAGGGGGGTGCTGTTGGGGTGATGGGGGTGTTAGCTCCCCGCAAGTCTTATGTTTCGTCTACAAGGAGGTAGGTTACATACTATGCAACGGAGATATCAGATCCCGCGAACGCGAAGTCCCAGAGTTGTCTCTCGCAGTCCAAGGGTGAGATGATTCCATCTTCTACCCCGCACCCGGTGAGGTATTCAACCCAGTTGGGGCCTCCTTCTGCCGTTGCTGTCTACATCTCATCCAGGACGTTCGGTCAGTGACTGAGATGGAACTTCTGGGCCATAGCCGCAGGATAAGCGCCAGAGAAACATGGTTTCAAACCTGGTTCTGAACGATCTTATCCGTCAACAGGGTCTGAGCATCATATGCGAAGTTCTGCAGATCCCCGATGAAGCTATAGTTTTGGTGTCCGTGAGTGCCCTGCACGTACGTATAGGAATCACCGAACGCTATTCTGAGGTTCAAGTATCAGCCAGAGGTAGTGGATGCAATTTGCCCAGGGAAACACCAACAGGTATTTCGTTGAGTCCCAGTCGAACGCCTTCTTCTGAGACGAACCGGAGGGGAATGCTGATACTGTAGGGATGGCCGCGAGGGCCAGGCACTGCCAGAGAGCGAGCATGGCTATGGCTCGAATGGAAGTCCTTGCACAAGGTAAAAGGCTGTCCGTAGGAAAAATAAACAGGGCCTGCCCAACGCCGTCTCTACGGTTTCTTATACACACTGCAGATGCGAGGGGACTCGCGCTCTGGATAATAACCACCGCACTCGACCCCGCATATAGATCCTGATTGCGGAGAAATCGCAGCCATGCAGCTGCAGCTAGACGGACAATAATTTTCCACTTGTCAATCTTGTAGGTAGCGCATCCAGTGGACTCTGGCTAAGCCGACCTGCATCTCAGACGCAAAGCTTGACTTGGTTTTCCCCCGCCCAGAGGAAGAGCATCGTGCCATCAGGTAAACGTTCGCGAGCCTGACAGAGTCAACTCGTCAGACAAACCTGCGACTTCGCTTGCCCACGGAGGCCTCTCCCCCGGCAAATTGGCGTTGCGCCGTAAGTCAGCAGAGGAGTCCTCGGATGCAGCAGGAGTACCAGGAGAGAGTCACTTTTTGGCGAGCTGATAACTGCTAACCGAGGTCGGCAAAAATGGCGACATCCAGAATTCGCCAGCTGCCTCGTTGATGGAGGAGGGCCTTGTCCCCAGATGCTAACCGGACCAAGATTTGCCGATCCGCGAGCGAGCGAGGCCAAGCCCGTCCGGGGTCGGAGAGAGGCTCAACTGCGGGGGGGGGAGAAGGTGGTGCCTATCAGCCATGATTTGAGATTGCGAGGATTTTAGCTCGGTTTGCTCTCCTACCGTATTGCCGTGCTTGTCTTAGAAGGTCCCGGGGGAGGATGTGGAGTATCATTTCCGAGACCTAATGGTTTCACTGGCTTGAGAGCATGGTCAGCTGTTGAAGCAAGACAGATGTTTCTGTTTCCAACCCAAGCACAACGACAGTGGGCTCCGGCTGAATACCCAGTTTCCATTATGAGAGGGAAAACGTGATCGAATGGAAGGAGGGTCATGTTATCGCAGTGGTGGGCGAGAATCCAGGGTGGGAGGCATTATCTTACCGTAAGATAATCGCGTAATTAATCCACCGTGACAAATCCTCCGGATTTTCCCAGATGTGGGTCAAGTCAATCCCACCTCATCTGCGCTGAGTGGACTGAGTCAGGAGGTCCATATATCAACTCAATTGGGGTTGATGATTGTGGTTGTCTTGATGATTGTGATGGTGGTGGTGGTGGTGGTGCTGTTGTTCTTTAGTGTGGTCATTCGAACATCAGGGGTGCTCCACGCAGCATAAATCATATTGGAAGGGACCCCTAACACCATTTACCATCCATGGCAAGACTGAAGAGTATATATCAAGTAGCCGAGCAATGCAGGTTTCTGCAAGCCAAGGTCTTCTGCGACATGGGTGGGAGGAATGGGAGATGGGATGAAGATTGAAATGTACCTCGGTGTGCCCCAAAGGAAGAAAGTTGGGTACGGAGTACGGAGTCACGGTACAGTTGTTAGTTACTAACTTACTTGTGAGGTATGTTCATGTAAGCGGGACCTCAAAGCTCTTGCGGGTACTTGTAACTATCTCGACCACAGTACGATACCGGTAAGTATCACTATGTACCGGAAACTGGGTCTCCTTGGTCTCGGTCAAATACCGCTAGGCTAGGCCTACCACTAGTGGGATCATTTTCCCAATCCACTGCGAATCAGCGGCCTGGAAGCAAATGCAGCTTTAGGCAAATACCCGCTTATCCCAACCGGGTTAGAGGTACGCCGAAGTCACAAACGTCAGGGGAACCGGGGAGGAAGAAGGTCAAAAAAAAAAAAGAGATAGAAAGTATTTATGTGTTACTTGTGTTTATGGCTCGGGTACTGTTAGGCGGTCCTGATGGTTCAATATACGGAAGTCGGGATATCCGCCGATAGTGTCAAATCGACAAAAGAATGTTGATAATAACAATAATGATAATAATATGGAAAGCAAAGGACTCCAGCTCAAGCTTAAGGAAAGCCTAGACACTACAGGACTAGTCCACCCACCTATGAACTAACGTAATAAGAAACAATGGATGGCATGAACCGACGCTGGTCAGCTAGCCCCCAATAATGCCCATGCCCATGCCCATGCCTGCCTACCTACCTTAGTCCATGCCTCGCCAACCGACCGACCGACCGACCGACACGCTCCTCAGCCTGACCTGCTTTTAGAGCAGGCGTAGAATATGCATGGAACATGTAACCTTTCGCCATAGTGGCAAAGCAACGCAAGTAGAGAGGCAAAAAGTAATCTAACCGTCAGCATAATCATAAATAGATTACACTCTGTAGACTACTCATGACAGAAAGCGTCGAGGTATTACGGCATGCTGAAGATGGGCCTGCATTGGGCCCAATCTGGTAAAGGGATAGCGACTCCCCATAGAGAAGGAGAATAAACCCTCACGAGTCGTCCAGATTCAATAGCTAATTCTTGGCGGGATCTCCGGCCGAAGACAGTAGGTATATCGATCTTGAGACATTCACCATGTCAATGAATGGCTCAAGCGAAGTCCCGACAATTGAACAGTGGTCTTTGTTTGTTCATGGTCTGTTGCTGCTGCTGCTGCTGCTGCTGCTTGCTCAAGTGATGTTACCTTGGGGAAAGTGTCTTGATTTTTCCTATTGGTGCTTTTATTCTGGATGAGACTTCTTACTCTTTTTATTTGGTTTTTTTTTCTCTTTCTTTTTTTTGGCGCAGAATAATATTATTTTATTGACTCTGATGCAAAGCCTCCCATCACGTCCATCATCCATGACTTGTTGATCGCCCGAGTAGTGGCCCACTTAAGATTGTTGTTGCTGTTGGTCTGGTCGAATACACCTACCGAGTACAACAATCTGCTTGGCAGTCCGAGAACCGGGCCGGACCCGGAGCCAGCCAGTAACTATACCACTACGTACGTACTGTACGTACTGTACTTTGGTTTCTACCATAAGTCCAGATGCTCACGGCAGGTTGGAACAAAGTGGGATCGTCTGATTGCGCTGCTGATCGCGCGATATGCTGTTTAACTTGATCTCCAACTCAAGCTCATGCCCACCCTCTCCGTGGCTCACCCGTCAGTGAGACAGCATGAGAGCGGCGAGAGTGGAACCAAGTTTGGGTCTATCGCTGTACAGCAAGCTATCTTGAGCTGCTCTTAGCGTGACTACCAAATGGATCGAGGTTCAAAAAAACTCATCATAGAGGAAATCGATAATGCTCTCATTGGACGTCCTTGCTGTCTTTCCTGCCACTGTTCTGGGTGGGACATCTGGATTCAAGAGATGGGGGGCGGCGGTTCCCGAATCGTTTTCCGAACGTTCCTCCGGCATCAAGACTTATGTATCAACATAGCGACCTGCGCCAAACAACCCTATCCATGGCTCCATTCTTCGATCCACATCGAGGCTCGGAGACAGAGCCGCAGAGCCGTGTGGAAACCTGAAAGATGTCCATTTCCATCCTGGAGTGTCCTCCCTGGTCACTTCTGAAATTTGAATGTCGGTTCGGTATTGTATCGCATGGGTCGATGGACCGTCCACCAAGGTAGATGGTAGCTGTGTGGTCCTGTCTTCCATCGTGTTCTGAGCAAGCACAGGTAGCTGATGGGAGGCGAGCAATGCCCCAACCAACCTACCTTCATCTTTGATACGCATAGGTAGTATGTTCATCTTTCAGTCCAGGGGTATGTTTCTCCACACCCACTAATTAACGGCGCATCTAGTTAGCAGATCTTTATATGAGAACCTACGCACAGGGATGCAGAGACGAGATGAGGAGAGAGGGCACTAGGTCACTGGCTCTCTTTGTTCGGTTTAACCGATACTGAATGGGTATCATTTTGACACTGCCAGGTGCCAGGTGCGCTCTGCTCCGCGGAAAGAAGCGTGGTCACGTGGTATACATGGGCTCATGTCATCAAATGGATCTTTAGCTCCTCCAGCTCCAGGCTGTGCTATCCACCTTCCATTTCCGGATAGTATCGCGCCTCGGAAGTGTCAGGGCGGCCGCCGCTTAATCTGGTGAGACACCGCTGTCAACTACTAGCCAACTACAGGACTCCGAGTCCGCGCACGTGGAGCACTTCAGATCACGTTTAAGGCTTAGAGCGATGAGGCAGGTAGGTAGCTTGAAGCTCTGCCCGTGGTTATGCTGCCTAATCACAGAGCACAGTAACTAAGTTACGGAGTAGTGTATGGAGTCTGGAGCTTTAGCCATCAGGCCCGCGAGTCAGGGACGTACCGAAAGCGAGAAAAGACCAACCTCGCTTATCATTGGCAGACCGACCAGTATGCGCATCCCATGCGGAATAAGGGAAGTGTTTTATGCAGCACGCAAGCAACAGCCATCACAAGCCAGAGGTGAATGAAGCAATCAATGGAGTGGGTAAAAAAGAAGGAGAAAAAAAATTGAAATGATGCTGCACTGCAGCTCTACATCATCGATGGGCCAGAACTGACAGATTGCCCCTTTCATGTGCATATGGATGTCCGTCGGAGAACAATAACGATTGATGATTTGAGAGCCGCTCTCGACCACTGAAAGCTCTCCCGCCAATGTGTTGTCAGAGTGGGCCTCGAGTCACACTTTATAGAAAATTCATTACAAGAGCGATACGCTCACACGTTGCTCATGATGGTTGCATTGTTGAGACCATTGCTCTGAGCAGTAGGGCGATCAAGGTATTGTGTCCAAGCAGCCCATGGTTGAGCTGGAGGACATTGTGTTGGCCCAAGCCTCACAAACCCATTCATCACTGTAGTGCCGGGAACACTACTGCTAGTCTATGGTCACAGCTTCACCACCGATGAGGAAGGGTTGCTTGTTCAATTGTTGGTCTGGCTATCGGCGGGCTACCCCAAGGGCGCTTGTGGGTCAGGTATCATCAGTACTAATCATGGTGGCTAGTCACTCTTAGGAAAGGTCCCGATCGACGGGCAGTCATCTCTTGAGTTTAAGGTAGTCGGCCAGCATCCGAAACAGTAAGAAACTTACCAAGGCCTTACATAGCGAGGGTTAGTTACCGCGTAAGTACAGTACTTACCAGCTATGTGGTATCAGTACTCTGTATTCAAATTACCCCATGTATACGGAGTAATATCCGGGGATAGGAGGCTTGATTCCGCCCTCAGTATGAGAAATGTATGGACATTCGAAAGAACGCCTACTGAGGAGTCCAGCAAGCTAGATAGAGCATTGACCAAGGTAGGTTCTTTCGTCCGATGTTGTGGTTTGGGGCAGCTTCGATAGCCCTCCTGTCGATGTAATAGGGATGGTATCGATTAGAGTTGTGTTTGTCACTCAGCTTTGGGTATAATTCGACATCCATTGACTGCCCGTATGCCTGATGTCCTGGACGGAGGAGGGTTTACATTGCCTACGGAGCACTAGAAATTGATAAGTTAAGTTACAAGTTATATTATTGATACTCGTGATCCACTTCAAACAAAATCATATTGCATGATAATTGCCTTGTGACCTACGGGCTTATGGTCTCCTCTTCTTGTTTTATGATCGCCTCTGGTCAACTGTTCTTCCACCTTTTTGCGCGTCTGGTTGTTTCTTATTGATAGAAGACTTGATAAATTACCATGAGGGGCGAGAGGAGAATGGAAGGGCTACTGCAGCATGTAGAACAGATTATCGAAGGCAACAAGACAATCAACACATTATTACGGAGAACACCTTCAAGTTGGGAACGTAAGTCTCCTTTTCCTGATGAACCGCGATTGTCACCTTCACCGGCAGTCGATTAGTTAGCAGGTCCCGCTTGCGCGGGGTATGTATGAGAAGACCCAGACCAGATGCCAATCATCACTTGCTTAAGGAGGAGAGGCTTTCCGAGATTGGAGCCTTGCATTTCCTGCGTCCCCTTTTGCTTCTCAGCCTGCGCCTGGCCTTCCTTCCTATCAGATAATCGGTTTTCAGCCCACCCTCACTGTGTTCTGAACCTCTGATGCTGCAGTGAGGTGAACGACCTGCTTCTGGATATTAACGAATCGAACCACACTGACAATAGGCCTGATCGTCGAGAATCGTTCGCTTGGGGGATGATTGTTCCGGAGTACTCCCGGTAATCTGCTGATGAGCAGAACCATTTGGTCCCCTACCTTATCACACACACTCTTTCTCTTCGCTGCACCGACATGAGAATCTTTGAAGTCTAGTCCAATGAAAATCCCGATAAAGTTCATGGTGATGGCTACAGCCAAGCCCAGGATACACCCTCCAGACTCCAGAGTCCACTGTGGATTTCCCAGCTTAGTCCCCCTCCCTCCCCAGCCTCCTCCCTACCGTAAGGGTGTCTCCCGCTGACACAGTGTGTCCCAGGGAGCCAAGGGAAATGTGTATGTGCTGTACAGTACTTTACTTGACCGAGATGCGATCTGAAGATACGAACGCATGGGTTATAGCATTGATCATCTGTCAAACTGCACAACCATTAGATGGTTGGACTTCGAGCAGCAGCATAGTCAATATTCTCGCGTCAACATGCCCCGATGACTTGTGAGCACACAGCGCAAACCTACTGAGCGGAATACCAAGGCGTGGGTGCGTCTTCTCCGGCACAAGATCTTCCCTCTTATGCCAATAAGCGATAGAGACAAAAGTACGAACCACCGTCAAGGAAGTCGAACATCAGTTCAATTTCCTGCTGGCTTGCCCCCCTCTCACGGCTGCCTTCCGGTCGCTTGGATCATACATTTCCCCTTCCTACTCCCCCATAGAATTTGCAATCCTCGAACTCGACTCGAATCTCTTGGATTGATCCATGCCCGACTCTATCTTGCTTGTTTGGCGCAGGATGAATACGTGATATTCCACTAGTGCGCTCTGTGCCATTGTAGACTGCTGGTAAGGAGCCTAATTTGTCCGACGGGAGACTATTCCTAACATCGGTTGGGCTGGTAGCCTCGTGTTCCCCACTGACGCGTTCCTGACTTGCGCGGGCAAGCAGATAACTCAAGGATGACTGTCCCGGTTACACTGCACCCGAGGCAAAAAGGCCTATCATCCATCATATTGGATTTGATCCGCTTAATTCCGCTTCCCAATTCACCTATTTATGCCTGCTACAAGCGATGTATGAGTTCAGCACGGTGGATGTTAGTCTACAAACAGGAAGATAACAATGGCCGTCGAGTGAGCGACAGAGAACTGTCCAATTGACAAGCGATAGGAGGTGGTTACTATCAGAAACCGGGGGTCCACCAAACGACGTGCTTCCCATTGGCACTGCTACGGCCATACTTCGGTTGGAGGTCTGGTTCCCCCCCCCTGAAATCGGCCGTACCGCAAGTCCGCGACAGCTGACCGGCGCAACCTTGGGATTCATCATCTGGACAATAAAAATAATGGGGGTTGGTGTTGGTTACTGGTCAAGCAACATTCCCACTTTTCCTCCCCGTTCCTCCCTCTCCATATCTGGTCTCTAACCCAAGTTTGCTTATATCCGAGGAGCCATCGCCGGCATCACCCGCCGCCGTCTTTGCACCGTTTCTGGACTGTCAATCAAGTGCTATTGTTAGCATTGAGAGTACTATGAGTACTGTACCATTATTATCTACGATTAAGTGTAATGTTTTTTTTGTCTTAATGAATGAATTCATTTTAATAATATCTCTGCGTTATGGTTAATTACCTCATGCCACTCAATCTCGTCCCCTTTCCCCTCTACCATCGCCTGGACCTGTCTTGTGTTTGGCTGAAGCTCGTTGAAATACAGTAACATTAATGTCGAGCCTCTCTCTCTCTCTCTCTCACTCTCACTTCTCTCCCTCTCTGCTACGGACCCTGCACGCGGTACTCGCTTCGTCCCCCCTCCTCCGGGCTGCGCTACTAACACCCGCTCTTCCCCTAGTCATCGAGGCTTTTACCTAGACCGTTCAAGCCGTTCCTCGGGCACGCCATTCCTAGCTCCATCTTCGCCTGTCCACTAAATAGATTACCTACCCACGCAGCCCGGACGTTGACCAACGATCTTGGGTGAGTATCCACGGGCGCAGAGCACGCTAGGTTCACGACAGCCTCCCTGCGGCCAGGACTCGACACGCGCACCGTCCGTCCCGAATCGCGGGTAGACTATCCAAGCTCTAAAACCCCTATAAACATTAATCCTCGACTAGACTACGTACCCTAAGTTTATTTTGAACCTCATATCTACATTGTATATATCTTTGGATAACGCTTCCACGCCACAACAGATTCACCGGTGGGGTTGATAGAATAGAGAAAGGTAAGAAAGAGATCACGGACCAGAGAAGAATAGCACAAGCAAAAAAAAAGAGAAGAAAAAAAATCATTGAAATTGTCGTCGATTTCTCCTGTTCCTTGATTTCGCCACAAATTTCGGCGGAGTCTGCCGCTGCCGCTTAGGAGGAAAAAGGACGGGAAATTGACAGACAGAGAGGAGTGGTAAGTTAGGGACAAAAGAGCAGGGAAAAGGTAAAGAGAAGCAGAAGGCACATTCAGACAAGGAAAGCTTAGCCGGGGTTACGAGGAGTGACCATCAGCTGTCCTATCTATCTACCTACCTATCTACCTACCACTCCGGGATATCATCGATGAGCAATTGAGGGGAAGGGGGGGGGGGCAAAGAAAGGAGCCGGTAGGCCATACAAAAGCGAGTGAGAGAGGGGTACTAAAAAAAAGAAATACAAATGAAAAAGAAATGAATGAATAGCATCGCTCGCATCCATCCAACAGAGTAACCATTTGAAAGAGAAATTATTACAAGCAACTTGGTTAACCACCAGAGACTCTTTTTGGGGTCCTGATAAAAATCCACGAAAAGGAAAAGGAGTGGGTCGGACTACTTTACTGGCAACGGACCCGTCACCACAAAGCGGCAGCACTCCGCTCCTGGAGCAAGACAAAGGACAAATAAGAGCTAATCCTCCGGGCGGCCCCTCCAGTATGAGTGACGAAGATATTACCATACCAGTACTGGTACCCTTACTAGTGGTTTTCCGCTTACATACCCGCTTTCCACTAGTAATTACCTTTCTCTCTCTCTTTCTCTCTCTCTCCCCCTCTCTCCCTCTCCCGTCGACTATGATTCCCTTTCTAAAGTTTCTCTCTTAATCCTTTTTTTTTTTTTTTTTTTTCTAATTATTATTTTTTATCCAACGTCTGTTCTCTCCAGGCTAATTCCCCCCATCCCACCCCTTTCCCCTTTTGAAAACCTTTGCCTCCAACTCCGTTTCATTACTAAAGAGCGTAAAAAGATTACGGGCCCACGCGCTCCACCATACCCTCGGATCCCACGAGGTGTTTTGCTCTCAGGCGGTTTTCCTCCTGCCGAATAACCTCTTTGCTTCGTCCTCTCCGAAGCCTTTTAGGCCGCTTCTTCTGCTCAGGTTTTTCTTTTCCGGGTCGAGTCGAACCATTTCCCACACCCCTCCTCCCACTTAGTTACCTTTCCCCCCCTTCCCCTCCTCAAGCCCCCCCCCTCCTCCCCTCTTCTCTATCCGTCTTGATTTTAGGGTGACTTGTGCGACTGGCGTTGCCACCAAGCTAGATCGAGACATCGGCTCCTGCGCTATCACGCATTTGCGCTGGTGGAAATTTATTTGATCGTGTCTCCATTCTCGTTCGTCCTGGCCGAACAGACTATTTTGGCCCTGACCTGGCTGTTTTCTAAACCCTCTATATTCCCCTCTCCCCAAAGCTTGCCCGAGCGCAGACAGGACCGTCCCTTTCAATCCTCCCGCCGGTTCCTCGTGCTGCTGTGCTTACCGCCACCTGCAAGCCCATTCTCCGTCACCCTAACACGGCGACTAAGGCAATTAAGCATCACGATCCAGCAGTACCATCAACTTCCCTAAAGACAACAATACTCTTTTCTCTCTCTCTCCCCTACCTTTCTACCTTTCTGTCTTTATCCGAGCTCGATTATTATTTTCTTTTTTCTTTCTCTTCCCTTGAAACACAACCCCCCTGTCCGTATCAATATTTCCTCTCCATTTCCCTTTTATCTCAGCCTTTCGGGAGTGTGCAATTATACGCGACCATTATTACGCGTCGATCCTCTTCCAACCGATTCCCTACGACTGCCTCGATTCCGTTCGATCACAATACAACCGGTTGAATTGTTACAATTCAGTCAACTCCTCCCAGAGTCATCTAATAGTACGTTCCAACATATTGCCGACCTTCAGTGGAAGGGACAGAAAAAAATCCCCAAAAACAAAAAAAAAGAAGAAGACGACGAAGACGAAAAAGAGCAGGGACAGAAAGAGAAAGAGAAGCCGTCATTGCGCAAGATCTGGTCTGGTCGTCAAGATCTCGTCGGGACCAGTCTGGCACACACCCTCTCTCTCTCTCTCTCTCCCTCTTTCTCTCCTCCCCTGTCCCTCAATTTATTACCTCTCGGCCTATCTTTCTCTTTCTTACCATTTCTTTTCCTCGATTTGTCTCTCCTCTTGATTTTTGTCCAATCTTGTTTTGTTTGCAAGCCACAAAGCTCATTGTGTCCATCTCGACGCGTCTGCACAGGCACGCGAGGCTTTTTTTTCTCTTTTAGTTCGGAGGAATCGTTCAGGGATATCTTGGTCCGGTAGTTGCGACCAAATTTGTATTATATGGACAACAGACCTGCTTCGGAGTACGCGCAGTCAGGTTCGCACTTTCCATATCCACTGTCTGCCGCGACTCATCATTCTGAACTCCCCGCCGCAGACCAGGCTTCTGCTGCTGCCACTGCTCAATACACTCCCCAACCGGAGGTTCGCCCGACTCCCCAGTACACGCCTCAACCCGAGGTCCGCCCCGCCGCCAACATCTCTTCATCCAACACACCTCAGTCGGACTACGGTCTGAACCAACCCGCCGCCGCGCGCTCCCCTGCCTATCCCGAATACCTCGCCCGCCCACCTCAGTACCATCACGCCCCCAACACCCAGGCAGGTGGTGCGGCAGGTATGGCTCAAGCAACAAGTCCGTCCATGACCACCCTCAATAATGGGCAACACCATGACCCACGCAATCATCACACGAACGTGAAGTCTGACGCAGACGTTCCTATAGATCCCTCAATCGCGGCCTCTAGCCCCACCTATCCTCCTCCTTACTCGCCTTATCAGCCGCAGGGCCATGACATGGCTCAATACCAGGGTCACCCCCCTCCTCCCCCTCCTCAGATGTATGGGCGTCCGGAATGGTCGCATGGTTATGGACACAATCAACACGGTCTTCCTGGACCATATAACGCTCCTGCCACAACGGTTGGTCCCGCCTCCCCTGCTGCGACCGCAGGGCCGCGCCCTGGCCAGGTATGTTTTTGATGATTTTGGCGTCTGTTTCCTAAGGCTTGCGCACTTGCGTGGAACGGTTGTCTTGGATGCCTCCCGCGTGATCGGGTTTGCGGCGAAAAAGAGAACTATCCGGCCTTTGGGGGTGTGGGAAGCGGGCGCGCTATTTCATCTGTTTTCATGATGTTTTTGATCAGAAGCTCATTTGGTTGTTTTTCTTTCTCTTCTAGGTATACTCATTCGTTCCCATTCCCGGCGCGCAACAACACAAACGCCCTCGCCGGAGATATGAGGAGATTGAGCGTATGTACAAGTGCGGTTGGAATGGATGTGAGAAGGCCTACGGTACTCTCAATCACTTGAATGCGCATGTGACGATGCAATCGCATGGTGCGAAGCGTACACCCGAGGGTGAGTTGGTGTCTCTTTTGTGTCTTTTGGTCTTGTTTTTTTTTGTTCTCGGCGCTCTTTCGCAGTCTTGGGGAGAGTCGCAGAGGCGTTGTTTTGGTTAGTCGCAAATAGCTCGATTGGGCTAGTGCGGGTGGCACGCGCTAGTCGTGTTACACTACGTTAGCGCCGCGGATCGCAGTAGCGTGACAAGCCGGCGCGGAGGTTAAGCGTGTTTAGCCTCTCTGCCCACCATGGCATGTCTCTATGCTTTCCCCTTGCGGTGGTTCCCGTTAATACTTGACTTCTTTCTCCCCAACCCTTCTTCATGTCTTATTGCCCGGCCACACTTTGCTGACATTTACCTCCCTGAAACAGAATTCAAGGAAATTCGCAAGGAATGGAAAGCTCGGAAGAAGGAGGAAGAGGCTCAGCGCAAGGCCGCTGAGGAGCGCGAGCGTGCCGCCGCCCAAGCTGCTCAGTCCAACCCAGTGGATGCGCCCAACCCTGCGGATCCCGCCCAGGGTGGCCAACCGCCAGCGTACCCCGGCGGTGTTCGGCCTCAACTCCCTCCGATCGGATACCAACCTGCTGATGGCCAGGTGCCCGGGCAGTACGGAGCGGCTGCTGGTGGCATGGTTTACCAGGGTAATGGGCAGATGGCCTACCCTCCCAATTACCCTCACTCCCCCTATGGGCAAGCGGGTCAAGTGTACCAGCCACGTAAGTAGTCATGTCCATCGTTATGTTTTGCATTATCAGAACCGGAGGTCATGAGGAGTCATGAGAGACCGCGACAGAAAGAGAGAGAAAAAAAAACACAACATCATCATGATCTAAAAAGAGATTTACGACCATCATACCCGAATGACTCGGTGACTCTTGACTCTCCGAGGAAAATATCCGCCGCAGGAGGTCTGTGGGTCTTTTGCTCTACAAGGTCTGTAGCTGATCGATGATGGCTTCACAGAAACCCAATCGACCAGCTACCCGCAATAGATGTTCAACTTCCCTTACTTGACTCAGGTTGCATATTCTAATACAATATCTCCTAATCCCGTATCGCCATCCCGGATCTAATCCTTCTTTAAGTTCTTTCGCACATGATACCATTTCCAGGCCTTGATTGCTCCAGTCAAACAAGAGTGGCCCTGCGACTTACGTTCCTGTTCCAGTTATGTTGTTTTTGAGTTAGATCGCATGAGAAACCAAAAAAGGAGATTGTCTAATTGAGGGGTTCGTTGTCTCATGTTCCCTGAACGAATACCGGTTATGGGAATGTGGTTTGGGATATCTGGCGGGGCTTTCTGCACTATCTGAGCTGTGTCTTTTTTCTTAGTTTTACCCCTGTGAATTACGCGCCTCATTGTCTCTATACGGCTTTCTCCTTTCATGTTGTATGTGGCTTATTGCTGTGATGCCTGATCTTCAGCTTTTGTATTCCTGCAGTTTCAGTGTCCATTTCGCTTCGACCAGCCTTTATATTACCCTGGGTGTTGGTCCCCGATTCTGTGCAAAATTCATATTCATACCCTTTCTCCCTTGGTCATGACCTAATGGTCGAAGTCTTGCAGCCATTCATTGAGTTTGCTACATCCTCCTTCATATCTTCTCAATGATCTACTGATCCTGGTGAATCCAGTAGGACCTGGTATCAATGACACCTACTTGCTCATGTGCCTATTGATAGGGGTGGCTTCAGTGTCGGCCCAAATCTCTTGTAGTCACAACATTGGCCATCTTGGTCACATGCGTGGGATTGATAGCGAGCGACGCTCCAGGAGAGACTAGGCGAGAAATCAGCGATCATTAATTCTGCATGTATTTCATAGTTCCTGTGTTAGTGGGTGCTCGGTCGGCGCTATGAAGCAGGCAACGTGCGATTACTATGTATCTGGATGACTAGCGTGGTGTGACTACAGTACTTGTGCCGTAGGGCGAGTCACTAGTCCTGTCGTACAGGATCAAGAAAGATGCGGGCTACTGTAGGTCCCGGGTTGACTTATTCGATGCGGAAAGCATATACAGGATCTACTGCCCGCGCATGGTTCGGATGTTAAGAGTAAATCCCGGGAATTGGAAAAGAGGCTAATCGGGGTGAAGAGATCTAGGCGCGGTCTTGTCTTAATGCGGGCCGGGTGATTTAGTTCCAGAGGGGCGCTGAAACGACCGTTTATTTACTTACATGCGTAGTAGTCTTGGGGGGGTCGGGAAGGTCAGCCTGGAAGTTGAGCTAAGCTAAGGAGGGGGGTTTTAAGGGTTCCTGGATGAGATCCGAATCGAAGGTTTTTGTTTTTCTTTTGGTCGACTAGTCAGCGGCAGTCTCCGCGCGTGGGAATGGTACAGGTTGGGATTGGGAAGAGCTTAAGCCTTACTAGTGCACCCTCGCTCAGTACTAGCGAGTACCTGAACCCTCCGTTCCAAGTTACTAGATGCTTACATACTTTTAGTACACGGCCCTTCCCCCCCCCCCCCCTTCCCCTCCCCGGAGCGGCGCGCGGAAAGGAATCGGGAGGGGGTGGAAATGTCTGAGCGCCCGAGAGCCCCAGAGCCTATCGGGCGGAAACTGCTGCCTGAGGTTTACTTAGTGAGTTAGTGCGTACCGCCGCATAGTCGTAGTACTAGGCTAGGTGGTACTATGAGTAAAATGACCCTAACAGGAAAGGACGATTTTGCTAAAATAGTAAAAAAGCCTTTTAAATCTCCTAAACAGTTAGACTAGTGCAGATTCAGTAACGCTAGAGCATTCTTACTATCGGGACTAAACCCACTGTGGTACTGCAACGGGCTGCTGCTGGCGCCCGCTGCGGCGCGGTCTAGCGACTACGAGGAAATGGCTCCATACTTGCAATTCTGCCTCAGGCATTGATGTGGGCATGGCCAGGCAGGACCTCTCGGAAGCGGAGTAACATACCACTTCTGGAGTGACCAGCAATCTAACCTCTTCTGGACTAGCTGGGCTCAAATGAGCCCGAGATTCAGAACACCGCGGAGTTTGCGGTCCAGATACCGGAGCTCGTTGCTGCACTCAACAACACTCTTTTTTTTCTGTCTTGTTATACTTATGAAATTTCTTGAGATCGAAAAGTTTGTTATTGTCTCCAGGAGCTGTCGTTCCTGAATAGACTGGACGCCATTTTCTTGTTTCTTTCGTTGTTCGGGTGAAGAAAAAAAAAGAAAGCAATAGATATCTCCAACTTTTGCCTCATCTCCGCAATTTTTTTTTTCGCGCCGCGTCTCCGGCCTTCACCTCACCACTCAGCCTTCCATTACACGCGGAATTTTCTGGGGACCTATCGCCACCGTCACTGCTGGGATAATCTGAAGTCGACTCAAATCCATAACGTCTGGTTCCCAACGCTTCGAGGATCAGACGAAAATCCGAATCTAACCCTCCCTCCCGACCCTACCTCCATGCTGGTGCACTGAAATCACAACCCCCAAAGCTCCACCGATGCGCTTTCTACAAGCGAATTCTGCTACTAGACGGAGCATGGCGATGAGACTTCCACTCAGTGCGCAATGCGCTCGAGCTGCCGCCCGGAACAGCAAAACCACTACCACCACCACCGTCGGCAGCAATCACGCCTACACCACCCTCTCCTCAGCCGCCACCACCACCACCACCAGCAACACTGAATGCCTTCGGCGAGCCATTCTCCCTGCCTCGCAACAACAGAAGTCGCACCAAAGCCCCACATCGACCCCCGTGAGCTGGAGCAGGGCCGCCTCCTCCGATGCAGTGGTCCGGAAATACTGGAATGGCTTCCTCGAGCTCCAGCCGAAGCCGAACCAGCCCGCGGCCGTCTCCAAGAAGAACAAGGAGCTGCAGGAGTTGCTGCTCAAGGTCGCGGAGGTCGGTACCTCGCCCCGGCTCCGGATGCAGGAGGCCTCGCTGCTGGGCGACAGACATACGCAGAAACAGGTGGAGATGGAGCTGAAGTGGCTGCCGGACCCGAAGCGGCTGGCGGAGCGGGTAGGTCGTCTGCTGCAGGCGAGGGAGATCATCATGGCGGCGGCGCTGGTGCGCGCGGCGCAGAAGGAAGGACGGGAGTGCATGGTGGCCTGGAATCATATCTTTGAGTATTGCATGAAACAGGGGGCGACCATGGCGGCGTATAAGTTCTACACGGATGTAAGTTGTGCTTTCCCCTTTCAGTCTTCTTTCTACGGTGTCTTGCGACGGTCGGATCTCTGCTTTGCGGGTCTTGGTTTGAAGGTGGATGATGGGCTTTCGCTGACTGTTGCAATTTTGCGCAGATGAAAAAACGTGGCCGCAGACCCAACTCCCACACCTATACGATCATGATGAATGGGTTCAGTATCTATAATCCACGGGAGAAGGCGAAGAATGTGGACGCCGCGATGCGTGTATATCGGTCTATTGAGGAGAATCCGGACGTGGAGCGGGATATCATCCACAGCAATGCGATGCTCAAGGTTTGCTGGCTCCAGGAAGACATGGATACCTTGTGGCGGGTTGCGGGAGATCTCCCCGAGGAAGGGCCCGGGTCACCCAACGCTCACACCTACACGATCATTCTGCGCGCTATTCAGAGTCGCCTGGAGCGTAGCACGCAGGATATCCCCTCCAAACATGTCCGCCCGCACTGCGAGAAGAGGAAGACGGCCATCACTGAAGGCAAGCGGGTTTGGGCTGATGTTGTTTACCGCTGGAAGAAAGGTCAGCTGCAGCTCGATAACCACCTGGTCCATTCGATGGCTGAGCTGCTCTTGAATGCGTTCAGCGACTACAATTGCTGGGAGGTGCTGGCTCTGTACAACCAGACGGCGGGACTGCCCATTTTCGCCAACAAGCCCTCGCCGGAGAAGGAATACGAAGACAAGTGGGCCAACAAGCGGCATGGGAAGCGTCGTGACGGGCCGAATGCCGACTATTTGCCCTTTGTGAACCACAACAACGAGCCGATCGAAACCGAGGCTACCAAGGAATCGGAATCGGAAATCGTGGAGGAGGAGGAGCAGGAGCAGGAGCAGGAGAACTTCGACCACTTGTTCGATCCTGTCAGCGATGCCAACGGCTCTTCAGCCCCAGCCCTGATTACCCTTGGTAACCGAGAGATTGACGTGGTGTTGGAGGCCTGCTTAACCATGGTGCAAGGAATGCGGCCTGGCAAACAGTACTGGGAATACCTAACGCGCGAGGGTCACGCGGACCTGATCAAGCCTGACGCGGCTGCGATTCACCAATACCTGCGTCTTCTCCGCTACAGCCGATCGACCCGGGAAGCCATCGCGGTGATCCGCGACCAGATGGTGCCCGCTGGGATCACCGATCCCAAAACCTTCCACATTGCGATGAGTGTCTGCCGGCGCGACACCCGCAATGGAAACATCTTGCGACTGGCCGACGAGATGCTCGATATCATGGAGAGTGCGCTCGTCCTTCCGGAGCCGCGTGCTCTGGTGGGCTACCTCGATCTTGTCCAGTCCCTGAAGGAGAACCCCCAGCTTCTGCTGTCGTTGCTCGGCTTGGAGGGTGCCTGGAAGGCTCGGGCGAGCAACTTCCAGGACAAGGGCCGGAGCTTGTACGTGGGGTTGCAGCTGCACGCCGTCAAGAAACTCTTCCCTCACCTCGTGAAATTGGACGAAGCCACGTTACCGTACCTCCCGAAGACGGAGGAATATGATACGGCGGACCTCCCTCCGCCTCACAACCGCGACTCGACCTTCGGGCTCTATGGCTCGAAAATCGCCCAGGCGATGAACGAGACAGGCCGAGTGATTGACGAGCTGGTGCAGCGGCACAGAAACAAGAACTTCTTGAGTAAAGAACTCCTTGCGGATCTGCAGGAGAAGCGAAGCATGCTCAAGAAATACTCCCATGCCCGGATCAACAGGCATATTCGCGATATTCGCGTGGATGCGACTGCCAGCCAGGTCGAAGCGTTTGACCAGAAGCTGGAGAAGCAGCTGGAGAAGCAGCTGGAGAAGCAGGAGAAGCAGGAGAAGCCGCAGGAGGAGGTAAAAGGAAAGACAGAGGTAGCCGATGCGAAGGCGAATTAGTCTCGGCACTGCATAGAACCATCATCACCTCTCCCAACATGTACTTCTCTCATCTATAGCATTTCCAGGGCGTTGGTATATAGGTCTTGTTTGTTTGTACAACAACATGCTTCTTTCTCTTCTGTATAGATGATCGGTGATATACAGGAGGCAGTTGTTCGGTGTAAATAAAAGTACCAGAGACTATTTCTACATCACATTGATCAGTCTTGTCCATCGGAGAATTATTTCATTGCATTGATAGATTGATAGAGATAGCGAGACCATCGCATCGGACGGGAAGGGTTTCCGCCTGCCGCTTTCAGCCCGTGGAGTGCGTACGTAATGGAATGGATGCCACTCTAGCCTCTCCTCCGTCCGTCACAACAACCGGCCCGAAGAGCAATCAATCATTCCATTCCCATTTCACTCAATCCGAGCTATACTCTTGTTCCTGCTCGCCATCTCTTTTCTCTCTGGGTACAGCCGGACTGTCCAGGTGATCCACCGGTAACTTTGCGAACGTGCAGTGATTGCAGTGACTATCCTACTCTTTCTCCCTCTATTGTCCTCGGATTCGGTTCCTGAGCTTTCCCTCTCGGAGCCTATAACGAGTCCCCCCCCCCCGTTGTTTGTAGCTCACGATATACCACCACCCCCCTACTTTGCCAGCCATGGCCAGCGCACAACAACCCCTCTACTCCCACGGGGATCTCCACGACGATGAATCCATTCTGGATGATGACATGATCGAGTCCGACGAGGGTGAGTTTGCATCAAACACGGTGGTCCGGGGACGTCCTTGGTAGGGGCATTCAACAGCTAACTCCCAACGCGCGCGCGCGGTTTTTTTCCCGCGCATCGCGCATTTTTGGAAGCATTAGCAATCGAAGCCGATGATCCCCTCCATGATACTACCGACCGGACCCCGCTCCGCGGCAACATCCAAGGCGAAGCATCTAGCAGCTCACGCGGCGGCGGCGGCGGCGGCGGTGGCGGCGGCGGCGGCGGTGGCAGCAGCAACTTCGCGGGGAATTACCTCACTTCATCAATTCCCGGCGAGGATCGTCGCGCAACCCAGAGTACCATCGACGAAACCGTGTGGGAGACCCTCTCGCGGGACCTGCGCGCCGTGTGGGAGAAGATGCGGCAGGTGCTGTGGCCCAAGTACTTGATCGGCGGCATGTTGCAGCGGGGTGGAGGCGGGTTGGCGGCGGCGGAACGGGGTGAAGCCAGTGGCTTTGGCGGCGGCGTTCGCAATCTGGTGGGCAGGTGGCCGGATGCTGATGTCGTGTTGCAGGGGGGTATGAGTGAGGGGTTGAGGGATTGGGATCTTTGGTACGTCATTTTTTTTCTCTGTGGTTGTCCCCTTGCGCTACGGGAAAGCTGGGAGTGGTTTTGGACTACGATACTAATATTCTCTAATTGGATGGTTAGGGGACCTCTGATTTTCTGCCTGCTGCTGAGTATGTTCCTGTCGATGCGCGCCAAGGGAGAGCAGTCGTCTTTGGTGTTCTCCGGGGTGTTCTCGATTGTGTGGATCGGTGAGGCGGTGGTGACGTTGCAGATTAAATTGCTGGGTGGGAATATGTGAGTTTTTCTGTTTCCTCTTGGGTATCATATGCTAACGGGGGGATTTTCGTCGATCTAGCTCCTTCTTCCAGTCGGTCTGTATCATTGGATACACATTGTTCCCGTTGGTCATCGCGGCTCTGCTCAGTGCGCTGGGTCTGCCGACCATTGCGCGCATACCGGTCTACTTGGTGCTGGTGGCGTGGTCGTTGGCGGCGGGCGTGAGTATCCTAGGCGGATCGGGAGTGGTGCGCAACCGAGTCGGGATTGCAGTTTATCCATTGTTTGTGTTCTATGTGGCTATCGGATGTCTCTGCTTTATCAGTTGAGAGGGCGCATGCGGGCTTCAAACTGGGTATGTGGTGGGAGTGTGGTGCTGAGCAAGGGAGGAACTATAGCTAAGCTAGGCATAGAGGAAGAGGGAGGTGGATGTCGGGGGGGGGGGGGTTGTGTTGTCGTTTCCAGTCGAGGCCGACCATTGAACGGACTGTTCTGGTGTTGTTCTGTTCCATAGTAGCGTTTTCTATTTGAAAAATGTTTGCAGCCAATCTGTCATTTTGCGAATGGGAAATTAATCCCAATAGTCTTGATGATAGTAGTAGAGGGGAAGCGAGCGGTGACGGGAGGGAAGTCAACGGGGACGGACGGGAACCGGGGAGGGCGCCAACACAACAACAGCCCGGGCCATCTCATCTTCCAACTTGACCTCCAACAACAACTCACCCGCTCGCACCTCGCTTGCTTGCTCGCCTTCGACACCGCTGGCTGTCGCTCTCTTCTTCTCTCTCTTTCTATACTTTACCCCCCCTGGGTGTTCGTTTCACTCTCATCTGAACTCAGCTACCATCATTGCCGGTAGCTCCTCAGCCCCGTCTCGCCCAGGATCCTTCAACACACTTAACTCTCTATCCACGGATCGAGCAGCTTTCGGGCGATCGTGAGCCGGCTCTGACGTCTAATCCACCCTCAACAACCTCCGCGCAAACCCAGAACCCCCCTTAACACTCCCGCTACGAGGTTCGAAGGTTCGATCTTTAGGTAAGTCGTTGGTGGCTCTTCCCCCGCCTATGGAGAGCGACGATCACATCAGGAGTTTCCCCTCCATTCCTTCCTACCTACACCCGCAGCCCAGAAATGCTGCGGGCAGAGAGCCAGTCGTCTCTTTCCCGCAAGCAGACTCAGATAAGCCTCGGCCCTTCTCCTAGGCTGATCGAATTTGGGCTCTGCTGGCCCCGGCGTGCTTCAGCTTGTTTTAATTTGTTCGCTTTGCTGGAAGCTAACGTCGATTTTGCTTGTATCTCAGACAGTACAGAATCTGCGTTTGTTTACGGTCCGGTTTCTGTCCACCACGTCACCACCCGCCAATCGTCCTAATCCAAGTATCCGATCTCACACACACACACACACGCTGCGGCTGTGTCAACTCCCCGCGCGCTTGCTACAATTTAAACACAGGATTTTCTACCTCGATCGAAGATGGCGCCGGAGCAGCAGCATGCTGGTGGGGCACAAGGTACATACTCCAAGCATATTCGACCTTGATTTCCATATTGCGTGTTTATCCTGACAAGAGATTTTTTTCGCGTGTAGTAGAGGAAGTTCCCCAGCCCTCGATATCCGCTCAGGGTAGGTTCTAGCTGGTTCAAATATAGTACCCGCCCGCGAACGACCACTAATCTCTCCTCTTCAGTCGCGGACGACTCCCAAGCATCGGATAACGACGGCGGAGAGCGCCCCGTTCGCAACAAGCTCAAGGAAACATCCATCACCTCGGTATCCAAGGCCGACGACGACGCCGGCCCGCAGGAGGGGGAGACCAGTCGAGCTAGCAGCCGAGGCCGGAAACGGTCTTTCGATGAGGACCAACCCGAGAAGATGGATGAGGACTCGGGTCATCGACGGAAGAGATCGCGCGACTCGAATACAGAGGAGGGGGAGGGGGAGGAGGAGAGCAATGTCGTCACCGTCGACGCGCCGTCGCAGTCCACGGAGGACCTCTCACGCAAGATCCTGAGTCCGAAGAAGAAGCGGAGTCGCGACCAGCTGGATAAGGACGAGGCCAAGCCGGCGGAAACCACGGAACCCGTCGATCAGTCCACTACCGAGAAGGAGGTTGCGACGGAGAAGTCGGCTGCAGAGGGAGAACCTGAGAAGAAAAGACATCGGGATGATTCACAGGAGCGGGAGAAAGTAGGTGTTTCATGAAAGGTTGTGTTCTTTTTACATCCACTAATCCGTCTGCAGGCCTCAATCCCTAGCGAATTTGCTAACACTTCGGCCGTATCACCTTTCGGGGTCTTGGGTGCAAGCAAGCAAGAGTCCTCCGACCCCAGCGAAGCCAAATCATCTTCGGCCTTTGCGGCGTCTAGCATGGCGGCGTTCGCCAAGTCGGAACAATCGCCTTTCGGCACCTTGGGTAGTTCGACTTCCTCCTCTATCTTCAAATCGTCGACGCCTTCAGACTCCAGCAAGCCCGCTGCTACCGGGTTTGCATCTGCAGCCGGTGGGTCCGGCTTCGCTTCCCTGGGATCTGGTTTCGCGGGATTTAGTGGCGGCTTTGGATCCGCAGCGCCTAAGAGTGCGCTTACGAGTTTCGCTTCTCCGGCGGCGCCCAGTGTGCTAGGCAGCTCGAAGCCTAGCGCTTTTGGTCAGCCGGAAGATGATGAGAAGGAAGGAGAAGCAGAGGAGGCCGATGCTGGTCCTGCCGAGTTCGAGCAGGACAAGACGGACGAGCGGTTCTTTGAGCGACCCAGTAAGTTCAAACCCTGGAGTGGGAGGTCCCTCAGTTAACGTTTGTCTAGTCGAAACCGGCGAGGAGAATGAAAAGACGTACTTCTCGTGCAAAGCGAAACTGTTCCAATTCAGCAATAAGGAGTGGAAGGAGCGCGGCATTGGCACATTCAAAGTCAACGTACGGCTGACGGACGGGGTGGAAGATAAGAAAGCGGCCCGGATGATCATGCGTGCCGACGGCGTGTTGCGGGTGATGCTGAACACGCCCATCTTCAAGGGTATGACGGTCGGCGACGCAAAGGGCCAGCCGCCCAAGTCGAAGCAGATTCACCTTGCCAGTCTGGAGGAGGGCCGATCGGTTCCGCTTCTGTTGCGGGTGAGTATCCTTCCACGAATTGACCAAAGGGAAGTATGTGCTAATAGAGTGTGTAGACGGGAAGCGAGGAATTGGCGAACGAGCTGTACAATGTGGTGAAGGACTTGCAATCGCATCAGTGAGAGTCTTTGGGCCCGCGATTGAGGTGGGGGTCTCGTCGGCATTCTGGAGACGGGAGAATTGGATTTATACTACCGGCTGGATCTATACATGCTTTGGGATGGGGAGGATTATTGATTGCTTCACACACATGCATATCTGGAGGGTAACGGACCCTGTCTGTGTGGGTAGGAGTTAAGACTTTGAATACTGCGAATAATGCATCTCTTATGTTACTTGA